TCCAGTATATAATATTTCAGTGGGAGATCACGTGACGCATTACTTGCAGAAGTATATAGCTGTTATAGCGACAGCTGATTGGTGGATGGTAGCGGGGAGGATAAAGCAGTAAGCACTTGTTCAGAGTCCAGACAGAAGTGACAGTTTATTCCGCAACGAGCAAGAAGGTAAACATAATAGTGGACGGTGACAATTAGCAGAAGAGAACAGGAAAAAGAATTGGTGAATTACCAACATTAACATTACAACATTGCCACCTAATTTGCTAATTCTTTTACAATAAAAATTTGCGGAAAAATATGCAGTTAAAAATCAAGTAACATTGCAAAGTCAGGTACAAGTAGCACACAGCCATACAAACACAAAGATGACACACAAAAATTGTATGTACATAAAAATAAGCTTACAATACAATGCAAGACAACACTCATAAATTCAAAAATGTATGAGACACAAAAAACATGAATATGAGACAGTAAAAATGGGTAAAAGTCACAAAAATTGGGTGTAAGAGAATATGGGATTTATGACACAATAAATGCGGATTATGACCCAATAAGTAGGTTTAAGACACAATCAGGTAAGATGACACAATTTCTTCATGACTGCTAGAGCAAGCACGGCTCGAGTTGCACTATAGCTGACAGTTGGAGAGAAAGTATCAGTATAATCCACTCCTTCAAGTTGGCTAAATCCTCGTGCAACTAATCTTGCTTCATGTCGAACAGGATTCCCTTCAGCATCATGCTTTAAAGTCAGAACCCACTTACTTGAGATGACATGCTTACCAACTGGTCTCTTCACTAAAGTCCAAGTACCATTGGTATGATGTGACTGCATTTCCTTCTCCATTGCAACTTGCCAATCCAGACTATCAGGCCTCTCCATAGCTTCCTTCACTGAACGTGGATCACCAACTGTAGCCATGAAGTTGTACTCAAAGTCAGGGTTGATGTTCGGCTTTCTTTCTCGTCCTGATGTCCTTCTCGTCCTTCTCTCAGGTCTCTGTTTCTGAGTCTCCTCCTCAAAAGCAGCGTTACCATAACCAGCTTCCTCAAAAACGTCCTGTAGATTATAATCAGAATAATTAGCAAGATCATCAGCATCGTTATCAGGAGGTTGATCATGCACAGGTACTTCAGCATTGACATTCTCTAAAACTTGGTCACGATCTTCAGTTGGGTTAACAAAAGTTATTTCCAAGCGTGATCCAAGGTCAACCAGTTCTTCTTTCGGATGATCTTCATTTGCAAAGTTAGGCTTCTCATCCTCAAAGAATATGGCATCCCTTTCCTTGACCACTTCTCCCCCATCGGGGTTGGCAAAGCGCTATGCTTTGGTTTGTTCACAATACCCAATAAAGATCTTCTTTACAGCCTTGGGTTGTAGCTTCTTTCGCTTCTCATCAGGAATGTGCACATACGCCTTGCTACCGAAGACTCTCAGGCGACTAAGCTCAACTGGTCGTCCTGACCAGACTCCTTCTGGAGTCTTCCCTCCAAGAGCACTTGATGGGCAACGATTCTGAAGATAAGCGGCAGTGACAGCAGCCTCACCCCAAAACTTCATGTTCAGACCTGCTCCATACAACATACATCTCAGGGTCGGACTGGGGGGTTGAGGGCCTCCCGGAGAGTGTCATGCGAGGGCCCTCAACTCAAGGCTGCCCCCCCTTCCCCCCCAAAGAAGCTGATCTTAAAAATTAAACTACAGTTGAACAGTTGCCGCAAAATTTTTATTTCCATTTTTCCTGAGTTTCTCCCAATTTCCATACCCTTTCTCCCTAAATTTCCCCGAGTTTTAAGCCGCGTTTCTGGTGTAGGACATGGTTAAACGAACAACCCCGCATCTGAGCATTTACGGGTACTTGCCGGGGCTTGTAACCTCTTGTAACCCTACTGTAAATAAAGAACGCGAGCGAAGCGAGCGCGAAAATTTTTGGGTCAAATCACCCTCCTGGGACGTCAAAGTATGTTTTTGACCAACATAGAGCGCATAGAAAGCGATATGGGGACGATCGGAACAAAATTTCCTGTCTTTTT